CAAGGTAAGCGAAGGAAAGGGAAAGGAAGGAAGAAAGAAAGAAAAAAAGAAGAAAAAACGCCCAAGAAAAAAAAAAAAAAAAAGAAGAGAAAAAGAAAGAGGCGCATGCGCGAAGAAGAAAAAGAAAAAAAAAAAGGAAAGAGCAATTAAAAGAGAAAAAGAGAAAAAGAAATAAAAAAGAGAGAGAAGAGAAAGAAAGACGAAAGGAAGAAAAGGAAAGAAGGGAGGTGAGAGGGACGGAAGGAGGAGGATAGGAGAGGGGAGTGAGAGGGAGGGAGGAAAGAAAAGATAAGAAAGAAAGAGAAAAGTACATAGCTTGTGTTTGGGCCGGCTGCTGGGCTCACGATCTGTATCCCAGCACCGTGTTGGGAGGCTGAGGTGGCGGCTTGCTCCAGCCCAGAAGTTTGAGATCAGCTGGGCAACTATTGGAGCCTCGGTCTCTTACAAAACAAACACAAAATAGCCAGTGGGTGGTGCAGGTGCCTGCAGTCCCACTTACTCGAGAGCTGAGGTGGAAGGATCGGTGAACCTGAAAAGTCGGATGTTTGCTATGTGGATCCGAAGATCGGCCCACGGCATGTCCCCACCCTAGGCGTTCGGCCTGTGGACAGATGAGACCCTGTCTCAAAAAAAAAAAAAAAAAGAAAAAAAAATGATATTCTTTTCTTTCTTTTCTTTCTTTTCTTTCTTTCTTCTCTTTCTTTCTTTTCTGACAGGTTCTCACTCTGTCACCCAGGCTGGAGTGCAGTGGCACAATCTTCTCTCACTGCAACCTCCACCTCCCACGCTCAAGCAATCCTCCTACCTCAGCCTCCCTCCCTGGGACTACAGGTGTGTGCCACTATGCCCAGCTAATTTTTGTATTTTTGTAGACACAGGGTTTCCCCACGTTGCCCAGACTGATCTCAAACTCTTAGACTCAAGTGATCCACCTCCCTCAACCTCCCAAAGTGCTGGGATTACAGTTGTGAGCCACCACACCTGGCCAGCACAGCCTGATTTCTAATATGACCAAATAATGGTGCCTATTTTTGAACTCATTTCAAGTCATCCACATTCTTGCATGCAGGTGTGGTTCATTTGTTCTCATTGTGGAGTATTCTATTACATGAATATACCACAGTCAACTTACCCATTCTCCTGCTGGTAACATCCAGAGTACTCCCAGTTCTGGCTGTTATGAATAGGCTGCTAGGAACATTCTTGTACATGTCTTTTGGTAACTTATGGATGCATTTTAATTGATTATATGCTGCCTAGAAGTCACATCAGAGAGGATGCTTGTATCCAGCTTAGCTCATACTGCCAGAAACTCCCACTGATGCAGGGCAGGCCAGCCCCAAAATTGGGGCTTAGCCCGGGAGGGTTCGTGGCTTCACCCATGAAAGAATGTAAGGGTGAGCCAATGGAGTTAGCAGTTTTTACTGAAGCAGCCGTGCACAGCAGCAGAAGGGCTGCTCCTTGCGGGGCAGGGCTACCCCATAGGCAGTGTGCCCGGAGCAGCAGCTCAGAGGCAGTGTGCAGTCAGATTTACTGCCGCTTTTAATTACATGCAAATTAAGAGGTGGATTATTCAGAAATTTCTAGGAAAAGGGTGGTAGCTTCTGGGTCATCAGGTCATTGCTGTGGAAAGGGGCATTAACGTCTGGGTGTCGCCATGGCAATGGTAAACTGATGTGGCACACTGGTGGGTATGTCTTACGGAAAGCTGCTTCCAGCCATCTCTGTTCTAGTTAGTCCTCAATTTGGTGTGGCATCTGAGCCCCTCGTCTGGAGTGGAGGCCTGCCTCCCACCTCCCACCAGCAGCGTATGAAAGTTGCAATTGTTTCAAATCCTTCCTGAGCCATTCCTAGGGGTATGGAGTGTTAGCTCCCTTTGGCTTTAATTTAATTTGTATTTCCCCAATGATTAATAAAATATTCTCTTATGTGTATTGGCCATTTGGATATCTTTTTTTCTTTTACTTTTTTTTTATACAGAGTCTCACTCTGTCCCCCAGGCTGGAATGCAGTGTCATGATCTCAGCTCACTGCAACCTCTGCCTCCCGGGTTCAAGCAATTCTCCCACCTCAGCTTCCCATGTAGCTGGGATTACAAGCACACGCCACCAAGCCCAGAAAATTTTTGTATTTTTAGTAGAGATGGCATTTCGACATGTTGGCCAGGCTGATCTTGGACTCCTGATCTCAGGTGATCCACCAGCCTCGGCCTCCCAAAGTGCTGGGATTACAGGCATGAGCCACCACACCTGCCTGGATATCTCTTTTGTAAAGTGTCTGTTGAGGTCGTCTGTCCGTCTTCCTCTCAGCTTGCCTGTCTTCTTGCTGACTTGAAGGAGTTCTTCATATTCTGATTTCCCATCTCAGCTCAGATTTCTCTTCCCACTCTGTGCTTTGACTTCTCACGCTCTTCATGGGGTCCTCTGTTGAACAGATGTTCTTCATTTTAATGCAGTCCAATTTATCATTGTTTATTTTGTAGTTGGTGCTTATTGTGTCCTCTCTAGGAAATATTTGACCACCTCATGAAGACATTTTCCTGTTTCTTTCTAGAAACTGTACTGTTTTGCTTTGCCAATCTGTATCTACAGTCAATCTGGAATTGGCTTTTACGTACGGCATGAAGTAGAGATCAAAATTCACTTTCCATATGAATATCTGCTCAGTCAGCTCGGGCTACTATAACAAAACATTGAGTGCCTTAAACAACAGAAATTTATTTCTCACAGCTCTGGGGGCTGGACGTCTCACAGCAAGGTGCCGGCAGGTTTGGTGTCTGGTGAGGCCTCTCTTCCCGGCTTGTAGACAGCTGCCCTCTGCGTCCTCACATGGGAGAGGCGTAAGGGCACTGACCCCAGCATGGGTCTCCACCCTCATGGCCTAACCACCTCCCAAAGGCTCCACCTCCTGACACCATCACATTGGGAGTTAGGAGTTCAATATATGAACCCAGGGGACACAGGCATTCAGTCCACAGTGCTCCACCCCGTGTGCTCCACCCCGTGAGCACACCCCGTGTGCTCCACCCCGTGTGCACACCCCGTGTGCTCACATCACCCCAGTTTCCCACCCTCCCTGGCCTGCAGGCTTTGTGGGTTCCATTTCCCCTACTCCAGCATGAGAGGCAGTGGGTATGGTTGACAGCGGCAGATCTGCTGTCTATGGGGCCCTGGGGGTCTGAGAATGGTGGGCCCACCTGCTCAGCAGGGCCGTGTGGAGTTCAATGAAAGGATATGCTGAAGCACCCGCTGTGCATGCTTGGTGAGTTCTCACCCAAATAACTTCATGCTGAAACAGGGTCGCTCCAGGGGTGTCCCTGCCTGGAAGGGACTCTGGGTGTCTTGCCGTGAGCACCACGGTGGCTCTCCCTTCACACTGCGGGCTGGGCTTCTCCACTCTCTGCAGTGAGAGAACTGGCTGAGATCCTGGAAGACTGATGGGATGCGAAAGAAAGATTTGGGAACTGAACTGAGATCATCCAACCCATGTCCCCAAATTCACCAAACATACACTGGCACTAGGGAGCTGGAATGTGGCCAAGGGCTGGTCCCTGCCCACAGGGAGGTTGGAGCCCATGAGGGAGAAAGATCCACAGAAAGATGATTTCGGCACAGGGAGGAGGGCTGGGGCCAAGGCAAGCCAGGCACCATGGGTCGCGAGGAGGGGCCCTTGTTCACGCGAGGGAGGACATTGGCTTGGGGAGAGAGTTACAGGAAGTCTGGAGAAGGATTCCAGGCTGCCAGGCAGCAGGAGCAGAGATGGGGACAGCACGGAGCCTGGGGCAGCTTTATCCCACCTGCCCAGCAGAGCCGAGCGGCACAGATTTCAGCTGTGACCCTGGATAAAATGGGTGATGGTAGCCAATAACACCAGCTACCAGGACTCTGCCACCTTCACCATTCTGGGAATAAGCTCTCAGCTACCCTGAGAGCAGTCAAAGCACCAATTCACCAAGCACAGATTATACCCATCTATGGCTATGCAGGGTCTGTTAAGCCCCTTAGGTCTCCATGGTGGGGTGGGGCACCGCTTCCCATTGAGCAGCATCTAATGGATAATGGGCATTCCCCCAGTAGGAAGATCTGGAAGCCAATCCCAACACACACGTGCGCGCGCGCACACCCATGCACACACACACGCACACACGCACACACGCACACACGCACACACACACACGCACACATGCACGCATGCACGCACGTCAGCTGCAGTCCCAGGGAGGCAAAGACAGTTATCAAAAGGAGAGTGTTTTCCAGATGAATATTCCAGAAGCGTATTCTCACAAGAAAAGAGGAGACTGGACAGACAAAACAATAGTGTCTACTCCACAGGAAGCAACACGGAGGTGCTGAGGTGTGTGGGGCAAGGGAGCAGCACTCCCCGCTTTGTACTATAGAAATTACTTTCCAGGCTGGACACGGTGGTTCACATGGGTATCCCCAGCACTTTGGGAGGCCAAGGTCGGTGGATAAGTTGAGGTCAGGAGTTCAAGACCAGCCTGGCCAACATGGTAAAACCCCGCCTCTACTAAAAATACAAAAATTTGCCGCATGTGATGGTGCGTGCCCGTAATCCCAGCTATTCAGGGGGCTGAGGCAAAAGAATCACCTGAACCCAGGAGGCAGAGGTTGCAGTGAGCCAAGATCGCACCATTGCACTCCAGCCCCTGAGCGATGGAGTAAGACTCCATCTAAGAAAGAAAGAGAGAAAGAAGGAAGGAAGGAAGTAAGGAAAGGAAGGAAGGAAGGAAGGAAGGAAGGAGGGAGGGAGGGAGGGAGGGAGGGAGGGAAGGAGGGAAAGAAGAAAGGAAGGAAGGAAGGAAGGAAAGAAAGAGAAAAGAAAAACTACTTTCTGCAGCAGGGACTGACTGGGGAGGTCAGTTTGGCCACCAGGCAGGGAGGAGAGAGGACAGGTCTGAACTGGCAGGATCCAGCGCATGGCGGGGAGGCCTTGGACTAGAGAGACAGGAGGGAGTTACCAGGCACAGGGATAGGGCATCTGTTGGATGGGTGAAGGACTGCAGAGGGCATCCAGGGTGATACACGAGTGTCTTGGCACTGGGTGGATTGTGGTGCCAGAACCTGAGATAGGCTCACATCAGGAGGGGCCGTGGCTGGAGATGAGTTGGGTTTGTCCAGCTGGCAGTGGGATCTATAGCTCTGCAGCTTGGGAGAGAAAGATGCCAAGTGAGCCCATGAAATCCTTATTAAAAATATTTTTATTCACTAAAACTCAATATGAAAACAGCTCATGAAACAAAGAGTGAATCAATAACCCTTTACTCATCTTAAATTAACAAAGACGAGTGGCTTGCAATTACTTTCCATTACAGAATCCTTCTGCTCAAGAGATTCGGTGAGATCCTTGTCAAAAGAGTTAGGCTTTTAACATGTGTATAGGAAGCATATTCTTTTGTGTCTGCTCATCTATCCAAATGTTTGATGCCTTAATGATTTTATGACTCAGAATTGTTTATTCCTGCCTCCTGGGTCTCACTGCAGTCCCAGCGACACAGAGCAATGTACATTTTCCAAATGGGAAAGGCTCTTGTTGATCTGTATTTAATCTGATTGGCAGAGCTGAGAGGCTTCCTTCCCAGCCCCTTCCCCTTAGGACTGGGTGGTCTCAGCTCTGCTCTGGATAACCTGGGGCCAATCACCTGCCATCTACCCACTTGCTCTCCCTTCGGCTTCCTTCCTCTCCCCAAGCATCACTGCAACAAGCCCCTGCTCTGCCTCTATTGTTTTCCTCTCTTTTGTCTTCCCAATTCCCAATTCCTTCTTTCTCCAATTATTTCTTATGGCTCTTACTTACAATTCGTTTATACAAGAACAAAAATTCACATGGATGTGAAAAAGAAGTGAATCTGCATATTCTAAAATTTCAAATAAGGGAAATTCTAGGGTGGCAGGTACCACTCACTGATAAATTCAACAACTGATGAATGTTTACTGGGTGTCCATGGTAGTCCTGGAGATATCTCAGTGGGCAAAGGAGAGAAAGGCCTTTACCTATAGGAACTCAAAATGCAAAGGAGGATCCAGACCATAACTAGCTACATGAATAAATGTGAAATTGCTCATGTGATCAGTGTCACAGATGAGGGGACCATGGCACAAGGCAGGCATTTAATGGGGGAGAGCTGATGTAGTCAGGGAGGTCAAGGAAGGCTTCCTGGAGGAAGTGCCAAATGAATTAAATAAGTGTCATGAATTAGACAAAGAAAGAAGGGAAAGACCCACTCTATAGTGAAAACAGCATGGACAAGAGCCTATGTGGGCAAAAAAGATGGCACCCACGAGGGGCCAAAAGAGTCCAGAGAGGCTGGGGTGGGAGGTGAGTCTGAGAGGTGGGCAGGGACTGAGCCATAAAGACCTCTCTAACCTCTTAAATGTTTTTGTTTTGTTTTTCTCCCCAGGGTAGCGGGATACCATTTCATGTTTTAAACAGTGGGGAGACTTTGTCAGATTGCTATGCAAAGAGAGAGCCTCAGGTTCAGTGTGGAGAGCGGGCTGAGCAGATCAGAGGGGTTCAGGGGTTGGAAGGCCAATTGCAGGTGGTGAGCAAAACGCAGTGGCGGCTGGGTGGCCATGGAGATGGAGAGAAAAGGGCAGAGTTGAAAGAGATTAGGAGGCAAAGATGACAGGACCGGGGGTGATTGCATATGGGGGAGGTGAGGGAGAAGGGGTGTCAAGATAATGTCTATGTTTCTGGCCCGAGTGATTGTGGTCATCATCCCCCAAGGCCACAGCCCCAGGAAGCGCTGGGCTGAGAGAGCAGATTGTGAGTTCGTTCCGGACATACTGAGTTTGAATTGCCTCTGAGACAGCCATTCCCTCTGCACACAGACCCTCTGTCTGAAACCTCTTCCCTTCTTCCTGAAGTACATTGGTGTGGAGCCCCTTTAGTGAGAGTCTCTTTGCAATAACTGCTCTCAGCTTTTGTGTATCCGAAAATGGCTTTACTTTGCCCTCATCCTTCAAGAATCTTTTGGGTTCTAGATTGTAGTCAATTTCCTTTGTATATCCAGCTTCCATTGTTGCTGTTGAGAAGTCAACTGTCAATTTGTTGTTGGTGTTCTGAGGGTAATCTGTCGTGTACTTGGCTGCTTTTAAAATCTTCATGTTGTCTTTGGTGTTCTGCAGTTTCACTCTGATGGATCTAAATGGGGATTTCTGTTCGTTTATTCTCTCTGAGAATTGTTGTGGCTCCTGATCTGAGGATTGGGGCCTGCCACATTACATGTCCCCTTCACCGTGTTATCTTCTTCTCGAACTCCGGTTAAACATGTATCAGAATTCCTCATTCCACCGCCACCTCTTTTTGCCTCTCTTTTGTGTTTTTCGTGTGTGTGCCTGTGAACTGCTTCTATCTCCTTTTCATACTTCTCTTATTGCTGAGTAGTATTCCGAGCTATACATTCCGTGGGTACTGCTTCGCATAATACATGTTTAGGTGGCTTATATTTTTAGTTATGGTGAGTAAAACTATTATGAAAAATCTTATACAAGTCTTTTTATGCAGATATATACATTTTCATTTCTTGTGCATAAATACCTAGAACTGAAATTTCTTTGTCATAGGTTAGATGTGTGTTTAGCTTTAAGACACTCTCTTGGCCAGGCACAGTGGCTCATACCTGTAATCCCAGAACTTTGGGAGGCCAAGGCAGGAGGATCACTTGAGATCAGGGGTTCGAGACCCATCTGGTCAACATGGTGAAAACCCTGCCTCTACTAAAAATACAAAAATTAGCCAGGCATGGTGGTGGGTGCCTGCAGTCCCAGCTGCTCCAGTGGCTGAGGCAGGAGAATCACTTGAAACCAGGAGGCGGAGGTAGCAGTGAGCATAGATTGCACCATTGTACTCCAGCCTGGGTGACACAACAAGACTCCATCTCAAAAAAATAAATAAATAAAATAAAATAAAAATAAAAAGGACACTCTCCAACTGTGTGTTTGTTTTCCATCCAGATCTCTGCCACAAATCTTTTTCAGACATCCAAACTTCCTATTCCTTGAAACGGAAGGTATCTCTCTCCCTTTCCATGTCTCTCTGCTTGCCTCATTCTCTGAGAAACTAGAACCAGAAAAGTAAAAGAACAGAGCCGTCCCCCACCTCCAAGTGTCCACAAGCATCAGAGGGAATGGAGAAGAGAATAATACATCCAGTATGAGCTGGAAGTCTTCACGAGCCCCAGTAAGCTGGACTTGAGTCTGAAAGTGATGAGAAAACTCTGGGTTCTGCCCTAAAACATGTTCTGACCTGGGGAGGAAGCTGAGTGGGACATACTGAGGGCAGTAGCCGCAGATATCATGGGCCCCATTCAAGCTGACACCCCAGGGGACTGTTCGCTAATCATCAATACTGAGCCCTCCTTGCAGCTCAGGCCTCAGCCCCTGCTCCACACCCCCTCCTCATTTCTCTGGGTCT